TTCAAAAGAAAGTATATTATTTCCAATATGTATAAAGATAACTCTCTAATTTTCTGTCAGGGAGTTCCCTGGTTTTCAGTTTGTTGTTGTCTCTCACTGATGAGTTGGTTTTCAAAGTATGATCATGTCTGCTAAACTTTTCTTGTTTTAGTGTTTCACTTTTTCCAACTACATGTAAAAACAATTTTTAACACTCATTTAAAAAATTTTGAGTTCCAAAGTCTCTCCCTCCCTGCTCACCACCCTTCTTGAGAAGGCAAGCAATTTGAAATGGTTGGTGGTTGCTTGGTTGGTTTTTGTCCTTAGTACTCAAAAAAGACCAAAATAACACCACTATGTCAAGGTTAATGTGTAGTGTGTCTGACCGATCAATATAAGCTCAGAAGGCTTTACCTCAGATCAGACACAAATCGTCCATAGGAATATTTGGAATGGAGTTGTCTCTGAATTTATGCATCTCACCTTTCTTTTGAGCTACTGTAATTCTGCTTTGCTCATGCAACACCTTCTTTGACGCAGACGTGCCATGCTGGATGGTCCTGTGCCAGCCTCTCCCATGTCTCATAATCTATTCCAAAGTTCTTCAGTGAGACCTTGAGAATGTCCTTGTATCACTTTGTCTGACCTCCCTGTGAGCACCTGCCTTGCGCAGATTCTCCACAAAATAGTCTTTTAGGCAAGCATGCATTTGGCATTTGAACAATGTGGTTGGTCCATTGGATGCTTGGCACTTCAGCTCAAGAAAGGATCTCAGTATCTGGTACAGTATCTTGGCAGATGATCTTCAGAATCTTCCTAAGACTATTCAAATGTTAAGTATTTCAATTTCCTTGCGTGGAGCTGGGTCCAGATTTCATAAGCATGAGGTCATCACAGTGTCTCTGTAGACCTTCAGTTTAGTAGGCAGTCTAATCCCACACGTTCCTTTGGCGCCTCCCAAACACTAGACTAGCTCTGGAGATGTGTGCATCAACCTCATCGTCTATCTGTACATTCTTGGAAAATATATTGCCAAGGTAAGTTAATTATCCACAGCATTAAAAATTTCTCTGTTTGCTGTAACTGATGGTTCCATGTATGGATGGTTTAGTGCTGGCTGGTAGAAAGGTTTTTCTTGATGTTATTTGTCAGGCCAAAATTAGCACAAGCAACGGAGAAACATACTCTGTTGCATCTCTGCCTCAGGGACTGCATTGAGCGCACAATCATCTGTGAACAAAAAGTCACACACCAGCTCTCCCTCTATTTTAGTTTTGGCTTGCAGCCATTTCAAATTAAATAACTTACAATCAGTACGGTAGCTGACCTTGATGCCGTTTTCATCCTCATTGAAGGTGTCTGGCAACATCGCTAAAACGTCATACTAAAAAGCATGGGAGCAAGCACCTGCCCTGCTTCACTTCATTGGTGTCTGGGAGAGCATGACAGCATTGACCATCGTCCAGAACTCATGCAAGCATGCTGTCGTGAAACTGACATATAATATTGATGAACTTCTCTGGGCAATCACACTTTGTTATGAACTTCCACGAGCCCTCACGACTGAGCGTATCAAAGGTCTTGCTCATATCAACAAACCTGGTGCGCAGACATCTGTTCTGCTCTTGGCATTTCTCTTGGAGTTGCTGGGCATCAAACACCATACTGACTGTTCCTCGGCCCTTTCTGAAGCCGCACTGGTTCTCAGGTAGATGACTATCTTCCATCAGCCTATTAAAGAAGACTGTGACAAGAATCTTGGCAGCAATGTTCTGCTAGGTTTTTCAACAGTGCAGCTAAAATGATGCCTTTCTCTGATTAGTTTTATTCAAATATGTAACAGGTTAAAGGAATTGTCAGGGAACAAAACTATGGTTTCCTTCTTATTCTCAGTCAATTTAAAACATGCTATTTAATCATTTCTCTAACTGATCCCCAATCTTTTGATACAGATGAGGACTTTTATTGCATATGCTAAGAATGGAATTGGAAACAGGGAGGAAGTGAGCAGCACCGCCTTTCCAGCTATTTTTCACAATTCAACTTCATTCTTTGGATTGAAGTGTTTTGAATTTATGTATGTCAGAGTCATGCTTATGCAAGAATAAGTAAAAAGGTGCACCGCTGAGCTGAAAAGACATGATTCATGTATTTCCTAATCTGAATTTATTTGTCACTCTTCTTATCGTCAATCTCTAGTCTGACCATGTCACCCATTATTCAAGAAACTTCAAGGGGCAGCTAGGTGGCACAGTGGATAGAGCACCAGCCTTGGAGTCAGGAGGACCTGAGTTCAAATTCGGCCTCAGACACTTGACACTTACTAGCTGTGTATGACCTTGGGCAAGTCACTTAACCCCATTGTCTACAAAAGAAAAAAAAAGAAACTCTAATGATTTACCTATTATCTTCGGTATCAATTGTAAAATATTTTGTTTGGCATTCAAAACTCTTTACAATTCAATCCATTCTTGCGTTTGCAGTCTTTTTACACACTCTGCTTCCAGTTATACTTCTTCCCACAGAAGAGTCCATCCCTGGTCTCTGTGCACTGGCCCTCTCCCGAGTCTAGAATTCTCCTCACTTTCCTCTCAGAATCCCTGATCTCCTTCAAAGCTCAGATGAAGCATCAGGAGGCTTTTTTGGTCCCCCTAGCTGTAACGGGCTATTATGCATCTACTTTGCATGTGTCTTTTATATCTAGTTATTTACATATTGTCTTCCCTTTAGAATGTAACCTTCTTGAGGGCAGGAACTTGTTTTCACTTTTCTTTGCATTCCCAGTTCTTGGTAAGTACCTGGAACATGGTAAGCACTTAATCAATGCTTGTTGACCTACTGAGTGACTTCTGTGGATTTTCAAGAGAGTGACTACAGTGAAATCCAGATTTCCACTAGAAATAGATTGTAGAAATGACAATCCTTTGGACAGATATACAGAACTGGAAATCTAGAAGGAACCACTGAGATCCTCTAGTTTGAGATTTATTTATTTATTTTTTGATGGTATGGGCCCTCTGGCAGTCTGGTAAAGCTTATGGAATCCTTTTCAAAATTCTATTTTTAAGTGCATGAAATAAAATATACAGGCTTACAAAGAAATCAATTATATTGAAATACATTTGTCAAAACATTAAAAAGATAAGGTTATGGGTGTCAGGTTAAGAACCCTTGTCCTAGTTCACCTCCCCCCTCCTTTTTTTGTACAAATAAGAAATTTAAACTAAAGGTGAGAATTTTCTCCAGTGTGTAGGGGTAGTTGGTGGTAGTATCAGGATTAGACTTTAGGGTCTCTGGCACCAAGTCCAGGGTTTTTTCAAAGTGTATCATGAATTACCACTTAAAAGCAATTCTACCCAATTAAATTATAGATGTTTAATAAAATCTAATGTAACAACAGCTTCTATCATGAATTACTACTTTAAAACAATTCTAACCAGTTAAATTTTCAATGTTTAATAAAATCTAATGTAATAATAATTTCTATAATGACTAGCCACTTAAAAACAATTCTTGCTAGTTAAATCTTAGTTGCTTAATAAATTCCAAAGTAACAATAATTTCTAGACTGAGAACATTGGGTATCCTTTAATTACAGAAATTTTCATGCCTTTTGATTCATTTCTTTTCTGCCTATTTTCAAAGATATTGGAGTGAGTCAACATTTGTAAGCCCAGAAGCTTCCTCCTTTAAAGGAAGCATTCCATTTATTTAATGCCAGCTAAAGTTGATCTTGACCTCATCAATACATTTCACTATTTTATTGTGAAAGAAGAATTTTATATCTGTCTCTTGTACATCAACGTAGCTTTTCCTAAATCATTGCCCTTGAAGTCCTACCTTCAAAGCTCACATAAGAAGAGAAGACAAAAAAGAAATAACGCCCAAGACTTTCAACTTTGTCCCAATTGATGAAGATGTTTCAGTGATTTGCAAAAATAGAAAAGCAAGAGAGAGGTTTTTGTACAGACAGTTGCACCCTGCTCCGCCTGCTTTTTTGCCTTGGTGTAGTTTCGTCCACTAGTCTCTGGTTGACTTTCTATTCCTCATGTCAGCTCACCTAGTTGTCCTTGAACCCACGTCACCCCTCATGTTTCCTTTATTGTTTTAGCATGGCCCATTGCCTGAGGGGGGTATATCTACTTCAGGGTGCGAGAGGGACCAGGGGCTTCTTCAATAGTGTAATATAATGGAACTATAATTGACTCTGTCATCAGAGAACCCAGCCCAGCTACTTACTATCTGTGTGACATTGTAGAAATCACCTCAGACTCAGTTTCTTCATGGATAAAAATGACGAGAGTAGATGAACTGATGTCTCAGGTCTAGGCTCTATGATTCTATGCCAACAGAGTGAGAACTAGGAAGATGGCAAAGGTCGTTGCTCTTTTACTACTGGTGATTTGTGTCACGTGACATCTCCCTGAGCCACTCTGAGAGCTTCATTGAGAATCTAAATTTATACACCTCTTCTACTTCACTGAAAATCTTCTGAACCCACCAAACCTGTCAGAGTCGTCCAAGACTCAGGATGAAAAGTAGATTCCGTTCTCAAAGTGCCACCTATATGTGTTGAACCTCTTCCATTATACCCAGCACAATTGTACACCCCTTGAGTGGGGAATGAGGTGAATATAAATGAGGTGAAAATGTATCATACCCATTTAGGCCTTCCCTAAAGACTGTTCAGTCTGACAGAGGAACCCATACATATCCTTGCAAGCCTGATGATGGAAATGCCCTGTTCCACTCTATTTCAAGGCCCTTAGGACTACCCCAAACATCAAATGTGAAGGAAATCCAAATCTCAAATATGGAAGGCCAGTTGCCCTTGTTTAAATGAGGATGGGCAGAGAAAAGGAAGAGATCAGCCAGAACGTAAAGCAGTCAATCAGGCCATTCTGAATTCAAGAAGGTCAATTTTATATAAGCTAAAACTTATTTTACAGAAGATCTCCCATAGTTCTTTATGAATTAGAATAAGATGTGACAGCAGAATAATTGTGTTTGAAGAGGCTTACCGGGAAATATGTGACGAGAGCCAGGAGGCCCAAAGTCAGGTACAGTAGTTTCATCCTTTATCTTGTTGGCCTTTCCTGTAACAAGCAACATGATTTCCTACTGTTAGTTCTAGTAATAAAGAGCATGTTTTGGATGAAGTGGCATTTTCTTTGCAAAAGGAGCAATTGGCATAAGATTTTGTCAGGAAGGATGATTCTTTGAATGATGGCAAAGTGATGTGAAGATGCAAGAACTCTGCATGCTTTCAGAGAGGCACATGGCCCTTTAATTAAACGTCACTCTTGGGAGCACTTCATGTAGATTTGGTAGAAGGGCCTTTTCCATTACATTAAAAAAATCAGAAATCTGAAAATTTACTGAGAATAAAGTTGGAAAAGAATATATCATCATATTTGTCTCATTTATCGAATATGTATAGAGGCCTGGCTTAGCAGGTAGAGAGGGGGCCTTAGCGTCAGGCAGACTCAGTACTCAAATCTTACCACTGGCACTTATTACTGTGTGGCCAGGGGCAAATCTCTTGCCCTCTCAGTGCCCAGACAGCCCCTTAAGTCTATAAGTTCCTGAGTTGCTCATGTGTATCAGTGGAGGATATTTCCACACCAGGAGTTTCTCCAATGTATGAAAACCCCAACCAAGAAACATATAATCCAGTATGGTGGAAGTACTGCTTTATGCGTAGTATTAGTCATTTAATTATCAAGTTGGGGTGCATCTTTCCAGAATGGAGATTTGGGAACACATGCAGTAAAATTCTTGTCATCTACAGCACATACTTCCATTTCAAGGCGTCTTTTCTAACTACTTTTTCCTTCTTCTGGAAGGAGGGGTCAGTGCACCAGATCATTTCTGGGAGAGATTTGACTGAAGATTAAGGACACTTGCATTTCTTTACTACAATCATTGGTTGGTTTAGGGCCTTTCTCTCCTCCCCAACTTCTTCCCACATGCTAGAGGACTTTACCAGACATATTAATATGCCCTCAAACACCCTAACCTCCTAATCCCTCAATTTACTCATTTCCTATAATCTCCTCCTCTACCCCACCTCAGCTGTACATCACCCATAAATGCACCACTTCCATGTTCATGAACTCTGAAATTCCTTGATCTAATCTCAATTGGTTCTCATTCCACCTCTCCCTCTGCCTTGCAGCCCCACAGCCTAGTCTTCATCCTCACTGAATACCCAATCCATTTACGCCCTCAGTTCTGGCCCGGGCCATCAGCCCTGCACTGATCTCCCTCACTTTACTTCATTATCTCTCCCCCTTGGTAGATCCATTGAACCCTACCCTGGTGTCTTCTCTGGCACATTTTTGGTACTTTTTTCTCGATAGGTTTCCATGACTTCTTTCCCACTTCTCTCCTCCCTGTGAGTTGTGTTTGCTGGATTTTCATCCAGGTCATACTCACTAACTATGGGCTTTCCACAAGCCTCTGTCCTCACCCCTTGTCCTCCATCTGTATTATTTCACTTGGTGATCTCATCAGCTTGTATGGGTTCAATTATTTTTGTTGTTCAGTTGTTTCAGTCACATCTGAATCTTTGTGACCCCATTTGGGGTTTTCTTGGCAGATACTGGAGTGGTTTGCCATTTCCTTCTCCGGCTCATTTTATGGATGAGAAAACTGAGGCAAGCTGGGTTTAGGGACTTGCCCAGGATGACACAGATAGTAAAGGTTTGGGGCTGGATTGGAACTCAGGTCTTCCTGACTCCAGGCCCAAAGCTCTATCCACTGAGCCACCTAGCTGCCCCAGATTCAGTTATTATCTTTATGCAAATGATTCTCACATCTTTCTCTACTTATCTAGCCCTCACTACTCTTCTGACCTCCAGCCCAGCATCTCGCTGGATGTCCCATAGACCACTTAAACTAAATATTCAAAAGTGAACTCACTTTTACTTCTCACCAACTTCCCTTGTTCTTAACTTTCCTATTAGTTTTGAAGACACTGCCATCTTCCAGATGTTCTTTTCGACTCCTGCCTCTCCTTCATCTTCCATACACAGTCCGTTGTTGCCACGTCCTGATGTTCCTGTCTTCATAACATCTCCTTCATACACCCCCTTCTCTCCTCGGATCACTTTGATGCAGCCTTTATCACTTCACTCCTGAGCTTTTGCAATGGCCTTTCAGGTAGCTTCTCTGCCTCAAATCTCTTCCTGTTCCAGCCTGTCCTCTCCTCAGCTATCAGACTGATCTTCCTAAAACTCAGGTTTTACCAGATCACTTCCTAATTCAATTAGCTGCAGTGGCTTCCAGAATCAAATATAAAATTCTTTGTTTAGTATTCAAAGTCATTCACAACCTGACCCCCTCCTTCTAATCTTCTTGTACCTTAATCACCCACACATATCATGTGATTGATCCAGTGACACTGACCTTCTTTTTTTTCTTTTAAATAGTATTTTATTTTTTTTCTCTTACGTGTAAAGCCAATTTTAACATTCATTTTTAAATAAAATTTTGAATTCTGAATTTTCTTTCTATCTCCCTCCTACCCCTCCTCCCTAAGGCAGTAAGCATTTTGATATAGGTTATATATATGTAGAATCACGTAAAGCTTATTTCCATATTAGTCACTTCGACACTGACCTTCTTGCTATCACTTGCACCAGGCCATCCAACTCCCAACTCTCTACATTTTCACTAGCTTTCCCCTCACGCCTGGAATTCTCTCCTTTCTTGTCTTTGCTGCCCAACTTCCTTGGCTCCCTTCAAGTTCCAGCTAAAATTCCACCTTCTACAAGAATCCTTTCCCAGTCATCCTTAATTACAGTGCCTTCTTTCTGACATTATGTCCGATTTATCTTGTATGTGTGTCTATATATGTGTATATACAGACACACATACATACATATATAGACATACAGATATATAGGTATATATACATATATGTATATGTGTGCATGTGTGTGTATGTATTTACATATGTATGTATATATTTGATTTGAACGTAGTTGTTTGCATGTTGTCTCCCCCATTAGAATGGAGCTTGTGGAGGGCTGGGAATGTCTTTTATCTTTCTTTGTAGCCCCAGCACTTAGCACCGTTCCTGATACAAAGTAGGTGGTAAATTAATTTTTGCAGACTGACTGACGAGTATAGCTACTTTTTCTTGTTTGTATTTGGGTTTCTCCTGTGATGTATAATATGTACACAGAAATTGGAATTATGGGCAGAAATGAGAAGCCAACTACTCTTCAGGCAGTTATATTTTATATATTTAGGAGAAATTCCTTTAGGTCACTGTAATGCTCTTTTCTGTTCAAATGAGCATCAGAAGGCATTAAGAGATGCCCACAGAAAATAAGTCTCCACATTGTGCATTAGAACAGGGAAAGCTTGTTCATTAAAAAATCCCCAAATAGCTTATTTCTTACTGACTCCACTGCAAATCACCACCATTCTCCACTTTTTCATCCAAAAAGAATATTGAGCCAGGTGGAGCTGGGACAAAGACCCACGAAAGTGGAAAGCCCCAGGATCTGAGCAGAAGCCAGTAGTCAGGAGTTTTAATACGAAAATTCCCAAGTACCTACCTTGGTAAGAGAACCGTCTTCCAAAGTCTGGTTTGAAGGTTTGTCAGGGTAATTCCAGTTAGCTTCTGTGTCTTGACATTCTGAGAATGGTAACTGACAGCCAAGATAGAAAATGATAAGAAGGGCCCACCTGAGAAGTTGTGCTTCTTATAATCTCCTATTTGATTGCTTCTGGAGATAGGAAAACAGTTTGATGGAAGATAATGTCACTTCTGGGTTATTACTCAAACAAAGGAATGATAGTGGCAGTTTGCTAAAGTTGGCACTGCTCCTTACATGTCAGTTTCTTCCTGAAGAAGACCTTGACTTGATGAGAAAGAATCTCCAAGTGTATATTCCCTAGAGTGCACTTTGAACATTCACTGAGTTGGCTTTCTTTAGTTAGCATATTTAATGGTCTGAAAAAAAATCTACAAGCCTCCATTGCTTCTTATACATATTTTTTGAAGTCCTTGACTTTGACTCAAGTCAACAAACATTTATTAAGTTCTTATTATTGTGTTAAACCCAAATAGCTGGGAATACAAAAACAAGAAGAAATATAGTCACTGCCTTCATGGAGCTTACATTCTAATAGGAAAAGACAATTCATAAAAGTAAGCTGAAAAATATGTGGGGTGGGAAGGTTTCCTATATTTTTAATTAATAACACCTTTTGTTTTTATATCAGTAATTTTAGAATATATCGGCATTACCTATTTGATGAACCTTCCTTTATTACAAAGGAAAATGAGCGTAACCACTTGACAAAGATCAAGCCTAACTTGTATACAACATTCTACACCTTGGTCACCTATTTCCCCAGGGAGAAGAAGGAGGTACATTTCCTCAGCTTTTCTCTGAGTCCAAGATTGGTAACTGCAATTGTACAACATCGGGCTTCACTTTAGTGTTCTTTTTACTCTCATTATTATAATAATTGTGTATATTTTCCTGCTTCTGTTTAACTCACTCTACATCAACTAACAAAAGTTTTATAATATTTCCCTGAATTCCTCATCTTCATTTTTTTTTATGACACAATAATATTCCATCCCATCTTTGAGTATTGGAAAAGTGTCCTATACTTCTTATGTGTGGAAAGACCATCAGACTGAATACTATGAGATCTGGTTTACTCTACAACTAACTTGCTGCATAACCTTGCACATCTTGGGAATAACATCAGAAACCCTCAAAGCATTTGCTGCCTGTAGTCCAGTGTAAGCCAACACATAAAATAAGCACATTACTTTATATTTGCCTTAACTCAAGAACACACGTGTTTCTTAATAAAATCTCTGGTACCTCATTTGTGAAATCATGATAATAATACATAATTCAAATTCATATGCTACATTTTGTTCAGCCATCCCTCAGTGGATTGATACCCACTTTGTTTGACTTAACCTTGCATTTTCTTTTTGCACAAAAATGTTGCTATTGATATTTTGGGATGTACCTTTCCTTGACCTCCTTGGGGTATATGCCAATTATCACACGCTTTTTGGGGTCAAAAAGTATAAACAATTCGGTGAGGTTTCTTGCATAAAACTACGTCGTTTTACAGTTTGTTTCATTCATGGCTCTACCGCTTCAGTTGCTTCCTTAGTTTGTGCTATTGTTCCCCAGGACAGCTAGGTGGCGCCATAGTGGATAGAGTGCAGAGCCTGGGCTCAGGAAGACTCATCTTCCTGAGTTCAAATATGACTTCAGACACTTACTAGCTATGTGACCCTGGGCAAGTCACTTAACCCTGTTTATCTCAGCTTCCTCATCTGTCAAATGATCTGGAGAAGGAAATGGCAAACCACTCCAGTATCTTTGCAGAGAAAACCCTAAATGGGGTCATGAAGAGTCAGACGTGACTGAAATGACTGAACAATAAATTGCACTATTGAGTTGGGCATCCACTATCATTATTACTATCATTAATTATTAGTACTGTCAGCTCCCCATTGGGTTGAGCTAGACTCAATACGGAATAACATGGCAGAGATTGATCACAGAAAACTCTAACTTTGCTTTCCCTAAGCAAATGGTATCTCTAATGGAAACAGAAAGACTCAATGATTTCATTGGTCTTGGTGTCATAGGCTTAAAGTCAGAAGAGGCTTGAAGAATCCTGCAGTACAACCTCCTTATTTTAACTTTTCAAACTATTTTGTGTGTATTTATTCACTTTTGATTTATGCTTATATTTTTAGGTGTAGTTGTTGTATCCTTCCTGGAAAGTAAGGTCATTATAAATGGAAATCATTATATTTCCTTGTACTTGTATCCTCAGAGCTTAGCACAGTGCCTGGAACATAGCAGGTACCTAATAAATACTTGTTGATTGATTTTATAGATAAGGAGATGGAGGACCATGGACACCCTCATTTGGATTTACTCAAGGTTACTTAAGCCGTAAGAGGCAGACCTAGGATTAGACCTTGCACTCCTTCCATTTCATCCCATTGTCCACTGTGTCCAATGACCATGACTTCACCAACAGAAGCAACTTACATATAGTGATAAATAGTGGCGTAGTTACTTTTTAGAGTCCAGTGTATGCCAATATGTAACATCTGCTAGTGACTATGCATTAGACCTAATTCAAATATATGCATGTTGTGCATTTTTTAAGGGAGTGGGGAAGAGATGAGAGGGTGAGGAAGAAAAAGACCTATAATTTAACTGGGAACTTTCAGAAACTACTTCTACTAATTCAAATAAGTACCTAATCAATAACCTATAGTCTTAGAGAGTTGTCTGGGCCACTGAGAGGTTAAGTGACTTGCTGAGTGTTACACAGCTAGTCATTACCAGGGGAAAGACTTGAACTTGGGTTCTCCAGACCCCACATCCAGGACTCTTGCCTCTACAACACCATGGTGCTCTTAATTGCCTTTTTGTTAATAGTATATAATGTTAGTATTCATAAAATCTCAATATGTGTCACCCTGTGGATCATGGGAAGGTTAAACAAATAGTTTGTACCTGGAAGGACATGGCTCATTTGGGATTTTCAGTCTCTCTCATTGAAACTTGCCTCATAGTTGGTTGATACAGACATGTCACAAAAGGAACTATAATTTTAATTTTTAAGGTTAAAGTTAAATAGAGGTTACTTGGGTTTGGAATTTTGTCCTTTGGAATTAATTTTTTTCCATTGCGTTTATCATTATTTCCTTTGTCTGGTCCAATAAAACCAAAATGACTGATTTTCAAGGTTAAAAACACAGCTCACTATTTATGTAAACTTTCCCTGTGCTTTTGCCCAAACTCTCTGTGTCAAGGTCATTGCCAGAGAAATCTATGCCAAACACAGAGGCAGGGCTCATTTTGACCTTCTTCCCAGGAACCCCATTTGCTTGAGCTTTCAGAGGCAGAGGCAGGTCCTCATGGATGCCTTGCTCTTTATCCTCAGTGGTGTAGAAAGGGTCAAGAATGGTGACAAGAGGGATAAGCTGGAGTCTGGGCCCTGCATTTTCTTTGAACTAAAGGTCCTGGGACACTGTTTTCAGTTGTCATCATTCTCACCCACTAGTTAGTTGCTGGTGCCTTCTGGTATGTCAATCAAGGTTTTGGATGATGCTAATGCATGGCTCTCTCACTCTCTTTTAAATTTGTTTTTTTTATTTATTATACTTTATTATCAAATTAAATAATATTTGTGAAGTGCTTAGTACAGCATCTGGCATATAATAGGCACTTAAAATGTTTATTCCCTTCTCCTTCCTTTCTTTTTTCAATAGTAGTGACCCATTGATTCCAACCCATTCCCATTTTCTCTCTCCTACCTCTCCTTGTGACCAACAGCACATATAAAGGCTGGTTCAAGACAAGGATGTCCTGAGAGGTCCATTCCAAAGACCTTCCCTAAATCCTTGGCACAAATGACTACTCAGAGTCACTCTGGTACTCAAGATCCAATGGAGTATTACCTAAGATATGGCCCCCAACAGGTTATTTTGAACACTGGTGGAGTATTTAGGCTGACTGCAACTATGATTCAATTCCTCAGAGCAATATGACTGAAGGGATTATGTTAAGATACAGGTATTTTTGGACTGTGGTATTGGAACAACTATAAGTGATAAAGAAATCAAGGATATGACCATCTCTGGATATGTAATTGAGTTGGGGTGAAGGGTGATAGAGTCATAGGAATCAAATCTTGGGTATTTGAAGAGAAATCAATATGTATTTTGAAGAACTCAAGAATAAGGACAGTGGTTGGAGTGGAGGGGAAGACTGTGAGCTGAAAAAGGGAGGAAATGCATAGGTTGATAGCTAGTAGGGATGTTAGGATCAAGGGAGTGTTTTTCAAATATTGAGGGAAACTTGGGAATGGGATGGCAGGGAAGTAATCTGTAGACATGGAGAGAATGGAGATTAAACAGAGAAAGAATAATAGTGGGCACAATCAGCTGGAGAGAAAAAGATGGGAAGGGATGAAGTGGGGTGTATATATATGAGGGATTAGCCTTGAAGACAAGGGTAACTTTTTCTCTTTTTAATTTTTCCAATTGATTTATTTATTTTTAGTTTTCAACATTCACTTTTATAAGATTTTGACTTCTAAATTTTCCCCCTGTCTCCATCCACTCTTCCTTCTCAAGACAGCAAGAAATCTGATATAAGTTATACATGTACAATCATATTAAACATATTCCCACATAGTCATGTGGAAGAAGAATCAGAACAAAAGGGAAAAATTATGAGAAAGAAAAAAATTAGTATGCTTTGATCTGCATTCAGACTCCATAGTTCTTTCTCTGGACGTGGATAGCATTTTCCATCATGAGAATTTTGGAATCATCCTAGATCCTTGCATTGCTCAGAAGAGCTAAGTCTATCAAAGTTGGTCACCAGACAATGTTGCTGTTGCTCTGTATGGCCTTCTCCTGGTTCTGCTCACTTCACTCAGCATCAGTTCATGTAAGTCTTTCCAGGTTTTTCTGAAATCCTCCTGTCATTATTTCTTAGGAACAACAGTATTCCATTACATTCATATGCCACAACTTGCTCAGTCATTCCCCAATTGATGGGCATGCCCTCAATTTTCAATTCTTTGCCACCACAAAAAGAGCTGTCATAAATATTTTTGTACATGTGAGTCCTTTTCTCTTTTTGTGATCTCTAAGATG